AAAACGAGTGTACTCGAAGGAAGCGCGTGCGTGCTTCGCATAAACGGCAGAGTCGCGCGTGCTGTGTAAAGAACTCACTAACTTCCGTTTTTATGAAAATATTAATCTGCACGGCATAATCTACTCGGTCATACAAATATAATAAACTATAATAAACGTGGAAAAAAACAGTAGGAGTAAGATTTTTCTTTATTACGTCCTCCAACAGGTTTCAATGAGATTTAATAAAAATACCCGAGAGAATTGATTTTGGCAGTGCTCCCGTTCTGAGACACTCTTCGGAAAATTCTTTTCAATTAACTATACAAGTATTAAGCATATTCAATTAAAGGAAAATATCGAATGTAGATAAAAGAGTTTTGGAAAGAAGTACATGTTTAATTTTTTGTTGGTAGTTGAAAATGCTAGCAGCAGAAGAATCAATACGAAATGATAGATGGTGAAATTTAAAGTCAAGCAATCTAGTCTAGAAATTTAAATACAATCAACGTCATACAGAGAACATTGCTATTAGGTGAGCTCCGTCTGGGTTGCGTCTAAATTAGTGAGCAACAATCGATTCTCTAGAGATAAAGTTCCTGAGGGATACTTCGACAGTAGCCGTAGGCGAGCGTTCGAAAACCAACCGCAGAAATTTCAGACGGTCTGTAACTGACGATGAGATGTGTAACTACCGAAATAACCGCTCGAGTGATTTGTACGAGCAGCGAGCGCGTAGGCGTCTACGTTTCGCGTAGCGTTGCGCATTACCGGATTGTTTGCCATGCATTTCCAACAGTCCGTCTTGTCTGTCGGAAGTTCCGCTGGTCGACGTGACCCCGACGCAGTTCGATGCATAATGCGCGACAGCAGAAATTCCGCTATGAGCATTTGCATACGTAAACGCCGCGGGCGCATCTGTAGCGATTATTGCCAAAGCGCGCTACAATGATCGGGAATTGGTTGACAGCTAAAGCGATCGACGCTCTTGGACAGATCGATCATGAGTGTAGAGTTCGTAATGCGATGTTAAAAATATCTTTTGAGAGAAGTGTCATCACGATGGCACTTCTCGGACCGAATCGACACACTCCAGTGATATTACATTTTCCCGAAATGGATAACGGATTTAGTGGAAGGAAAGTGCAAGCAGAAGTTCGCGAAAAGCGTAAAGATTCATATTCCGTTTGTAGGAAGGAAAACCGAGTTCGGGGGGTGGAGAGAAAATAAAAATCTGTCCTAACCATATAGCGACACGTCCCGTTGTATTCGGAGCAGCAACTCCCTTCTCGTCGCGCGTTGTAACTTCCTCCTTCCTGAACTCGCAACCAACGGGTGCGTGCTAAGTTACCGTACTCTATACCACACAATCGGTAATAAATCTTAATAACGTGGGACGCATTTTCAACGAATCCCTCAAACAGAAATCTCGAAATTTAGTGCATGGGCATGGACGCGTACGTTGAAATCTCATTAACTGCACCGCACCGGAGGAATCGCACGTCGAACTCTGGTTCTCCAGACGCCGAGAACGACGCGCAACATGGGTATCGATATAAGCGAAAGGGGTAACGCGAAAGGGGTTGGCGCAGCGGAATGTACATCGTAGTGGAGCGGTGTCGCGGCCTGGGAAACGCTGTTGTCCCGGTGCATCCCACGTTACGGTTGCAATCGAGCTGGCAGGTACTGCGGGCGGGTGTCAAGGGAACACGCCGCGCGACCGTCGTGCAATCAGGCACGCCACAGCCCGCTGTGTGATGCAACGGAAGTGGAAGAGGGTACCTATACCTTTACCTTTACCTTTACCGTGTTGCCGTGGAACTTGATTATTGCGCGGCGAATATAAGCAACGAGCTTCGAGCTCACGAAGAAAGATGCCTTAGTATCGCGACTATACAAAATATTTTTTAATCAAAATAAGTACTCCTATTTAAAGGAAAATATGCATAGAAAATTATACTAGCAATATTATAATTTTTAATATAAAATAGCAAAATGTACAATATGTCTGATATAATTTTAAAAAATTTTTTTATATTTTCAAAATTACAAAGCTTTATTAATAATAATGTTTAATGTATATAATTTACATTAAAATGTATATTTTATGTCCGACTTTCGTTTTTGCCAAGGATTCTACGTTAAATTCCTACCTATAATAAATTGTGGTACAGGTGAAGTAAACGTCTTGCTGCAACGGACTTGCGCTCGTTTTGGATCCTAAAACACTGCATTCAGGCGCAACGTAAATTCTACGAGAACGTAGAAGCACGAGAAATCCCCAACGAATGTACATAGATTATTAAAGTAAAGCTAGATTTAAAGCGCATTTAGTCGTTTTGGAGAACGTCAACCCGCCATCTAATTTCCTATATTTTCCTTTGTATTACAATTACGGTTTCTGCAAATACTCTTGGTCATTATTACACAATAGCATATATAGTTTCCGAATGTACGTGGTTAGAATTAACGCTGAGTTTGTCGTCATCAAGTTGAAAAGAATCTACATTAAATTCTATTTGGTTGGCGTTAACTTCCTCTTACGGGTAACGAAACAGTTTGCAAGTTTTGTCAAGCCACTCTAGCAATGCACGATTTACACGTGCACCACTATTACACTTTCCCCTAGGTAACAGAAGTACGTAACGCGCTACAAATTGGCTACTACCCTCTGCCTTGCTCAAGCACTACCGGGACTTGCGCCATAAGTCACCTTACTCGTTTCTCGCTCCGCCCTCACCTTGGGACGAATCGCATCTCGAATTCAATTTCACGAAATGGTCATTACGTCACAAATTTCTAAGTGTTTTCGTAAAACTATTGGAACGTAAAATACTGAAGAAGCCGATTTTAATTCCCTGGTTTTGCCAACAGCGTTACTCTTGATTAATAAATCCCCGACAAAAAATTTCAATAAATAACGTTTGATACTGATTTAGCTTGCTTTATTAAAAAAAAAAAAAAAGTATCTTTGTTCTCATGAATTCGTATTTAGAGGGCCAACTCTTGAAGAAGCATTAATCGATGGCCAATACATAAAAAATTTAATCACTGTTAATACAAAATTAATGAAGCGGACGAAGAGAAGCGTTGGAAAAAAAACTCTTGCTATAACTTTACTTTCCGCCAGTTATAGCGGAACTCCAAACGCTCTTAAAATCTTATTACTATGTCTCAAAGATCTCTACACTCTCAAGCACTGAATTTTAATAAACGACCATGCGCAAAGATATTTCACTCGAAATTCCCTCGAGTACAATTTTCCGAAGAAAATATTACAAGTATAATCTACGTAATTTACAGAAATAAGAATCGGGAACAGATTGCATTATTGGCTAAATTATAGAAGTAAACGAATATTCGCAATAATTTTGATTAAAGATTGATAAAACGCATCGTCATTACAAATTACGTTTGTTGGACACGTTCTTAACTCTGACGTTAGCAAGTTATAGAAATCAACATCGTTCAGTTCATTAGTTATAATATGCAATGCTAGAAATTCTGGCACACCTTCCGTACATTTCCTTAATGTACGTTGGTATATGTTTATATTCACGTTATATCGCTATAATTTAACATACGGAACATGGCTGCATTCCATTGGCGGTAGACAACCGCGAATAGACTCTACCGGACAACGGAAGGCCTGAATTAGGTGCATGACAAATCGCTGTGCATGGATAATTTATCTGTTAACATAATGCTGTCTGCCAGTGCTGAGCATAGCGAAACAGCTTGTCTAATTATAATTTACGAAATATGAATGCATGATATTATACGCGAGAATGAAAACGATGAAAATTATATGAGTATACAAAATTTACACATATCGCGTTGTAATTATATTGCTAAGATAATGTAATTAAAGAACGGGAGGAGGAAATATTAAAAATTGATATTTATTTCACATTACTCGATAGAAGACAACATAAACATAAATATAGCAGGCTAATATGAGCCAGCAATGATAAACGGCACGATTATTTAGTGAACAATCAATACTTAGATATTGGATTGATGTCTTCTTTATTTAAACTTATAGACTTATGTAAAAATCCTATTTAGATATATAATTTTATAACTTATGTAATAACCTATTTAGATATATATTTTTATTAATTTAATTTGAAAAAAGTTTTATTAGTTGACGAAAATGTTATTAATTTTAACAAAAATTCTTTATACTGATTTTATTCTTTTTCTTTTCTGTTATTACGTAATTCTTTATTTTTCAAATTTTAATATTTTTTATAATTTTTAATTCATATACAATATATATTTTATTGCGTTTCTCATCGGATTGACTTAACAACAATTTACATGTGTCTTGTCTTTAGAATTTGCAAATTTGCCTTGATGTTTACTGTGTGACCTCTTACTTCGAGAATAGTTCATATCTGAGCGACACGTCGCCTTGCACGGACGTGCGTTTAAAAATGTGTGATGTTTATATTTGATTTTGACATATCTACTTTTAAGATTTAATATGTGCAACAAAGCTTCATTACACGCTTCATGTTCCATGATGGTAAGTCGGTTAAATTGTTTAAGCATTTATCACTCTAAAGTGATTTTTTCTAATATTGTCAGATTAACAACGCTACATTTTTGGCAATTTGCGAGTGACTTAAGCATTATGGACATGTGAGCTAACTATACTTGTATCTTGCTTGCTGAGGAAGACTCCAAAGAGAGTCGAAACGTCCTAATATCTGAGTATTGTTCACTAAATAATTTTATCGTTGCTGACTCTCATTAGCCTACTATATTTATGTTTATATTTTTTAAAATTCAAGAGTCCTAATATAATTATACTAATATAATTATTGTTGTTGTCGATAGAAGCCTATACAAATTTTAAAATATACTAATGTAATAGTTTTCTATTCAATATATGTCTAATAAATAGAAATTAATATTACGTATTGTATTCTATCATAATAATTTTTGCTATTAATTGATATGCAAAAGAAATAACAAGTTTTTAATATTTACTCCTCAAAATATGGATTACTTACTCGGGCCAAATACGACGAATGTTGAATTGATGAAACGTCAAAACAACAATTTCATCTGGATGACCAATGAATGTGTACAGAAGACAATCGATATTCGGTGGATATCGTTTTGGAAAATCAGGAGATGTAAAAGTGCCACCTTGAGGTCTGTCCGAGCTGCTGTATACAACACAAGAACAACCTGTAAAAGAAAGAATGTCATATAGACGTCGTATATGATAAACAAGAAAGTTCGGAAAAATAACGCAATGCATATAGAAAGATGAAGTAACGGAAAATGTCAACAATATTCGACAGCGTCGAATCGTATCAACACTGCAAGCTTCGTCTGATGTGTCTCGTCCCGAACGATTTTAATGTAGAGATATCGGGTCTTGTCGATAATGAAATTCACCATCTGACATTGCTTCCAGGATAAGGGACGAGGGCTCGCGCGCGAGAGAAAAGTTTTCTTATTTCCAAAATGAAGTTGTCGGCCTTCGCATCGATCTAACGTCTTCGCTTTCGTGCTACCAGCCGTGTCGAATGCCAAACTCAAAGAATTAAATTAAAGTTTGATTTTTCGGGGAGAGAGGAAAAACTCTACGGAGAAGCACATAATAATTCACGCGGTAAATGTCATCCTCGACGAGTCAGTCGTACAGTTAAAAATAAGCAATTAAATAAATTCTTAACGATACATGGCACCGCAACCATTTTCCGAACAGTTCGTACGTGATCGGCATCGACACGATATAGAAACGACAAGACATAAATTTATTCCAAATGTATCCGGCAGATCAGACGGCGAATGATTAAGCAAGCCGATAATTTATAGAGGAGTCGTTGCAAAGGCCAGCCGACATAGCTCCTATTATCCGAGAAGCCGTGACTTGCACAACTGGGAATCGCGAAAATTTAATTTCCTGTTTTTCAATTAACTTTTACGTTAGTCGGGCACAACGGGTCTTCTCGGCGAGCAGACACACAGGAGAATGCAAAGACCCGTCGTATCTATGGTTAAATAATGGCATGACACTTGAGTTATACCGCCGGTACAAAAGCCCGAACATTCTCGACCAGTTTTATGCTTTGGGGACCCCATTGTATCCCGTAACTCGCCGTAATGCGGAGGGAGTGATTCTCTTTTTTTATTTCACAGAGGTATGTGTACCGAGCTGTGTAATATACCGGTTTATTGTGCGCCCATTGTTGTAGAAAATAAAGCGATTCAGGGTGTAGAGCCGACTGTATAGGCAAGAAGTTGAAATTCGACTGTGGTGCAAATGCTATGAGACTCTCAGCACTCATAAAAAAGCGAGACATTTCGCAATCCTCTTAAAAAAAAAATTACGCAACAAATCTTTCGAAAATTACATATTATCCGTTTTATTTTTGTACATTATATATTTTAATTCATTTAAGACAATAAGAAGAATTAGGATTTCTATCCTATTACGAAAAGAGAGAAACGTATTGTATGTATATAATATATTCGAATATGACGAAACTAATTTCAATGTGAAATATAATAAAATAATATAAATTTATTGTAATATAATATCTTTTATATTATAGATAATAATATAGCAGAGCGCAAAATCGTGCTAATGGGAAGAGAAATGTGAATCATTATGTAGTATCACGTTAATGCGAATACAATCATTTATCCAAGATAATATCACCATCGCTACCCTCACGATTCGTCTCTGTCGGTGCGCTAGTGCTTTGCAATGATTATTCTGGCTGAAACGATCCATTAGCGAGCATTCGTTCGGTACGGCAAGACTAATGCAAACAAAGCAATTTATAAGGATAGTGACGCAATTAATCAGTCTTTCGAAAAAGCGAGACACAAAGGGAAGTTGTGCGCCAAAGAAAGAACATATCGCGTTTCGCGCGCAGCGAATTAATAGCTCTACGAGCCACAAGTTAGAAGGGTCTTTAGTAAATTAGCAAAAACAATATGTTCTTTCTCTTTCTTTCTCCATTCTGATATTCTATCCATCTCTTAACTATAGCGATTATTTTTTTAATCTTTCATTACCCTACTTTTCTTCTTTCTATGTATTATCTTTTGTTCTTATTTTATTTTTCGTCAACCCACTTTCGTTACCATATCGCCCCCCACGCAAAAGTTTTTACAACTGGAAAGACATCCAAGCTTTGTCACGTGACAAATATTAATGATACTTGAATTTATTTGTCTTATTACCTTCGTAAAATACGCTGTAAAAAAACATTTGCAATTTTCTAGTGCCTAACATCGATGCTTTTCATTTCGCTTTCTGCTACCTACAGTGAGAGCAAAAAAGTATTTGTACAAAAAAATTTGTTATAAAAAAAGTTTTATTTGTAGAAAATAAACATTAATTAGCAATTTTATACAATGAATACATTCTGTTCTAACATAAACAAACGAACTTCGCATGTATTCTTGATTTTAGAAGCTAAATTTTTTGTCTATACAGTCTATTTTATTCTTTATGAATAAATTGTTAATTATCCAACAAGAAATGATCGTCAATTTAACATCGAGTCGACATCAAATTGATGTTGAGAGAGAGAGAAATCATCATATTTATATCGACTCGACATTAATTTGATGACTCATTTCTCTCATCGCTGGATAATATTTACTTTTTAAAAATGTTTTTTTAAAAAATATTTTCTCTGTACGAATACTTTTTGCACTCACTGCATATACACAAATCTTTTAACAAATATTATGTGCATGGATAAACAGTTTCATTATCTATCTATATTTCCTACTATTAATAAAATGCTCTAAATAAAATTTTTCGCGTTATAAAAAGATATTAAATTATTTCTGTTGTAATAATGAAAAATTAATTACAAACTATTAAAGAGAAAAGTCGAAATAAATCACCGAGCTAAATTAAACGGAATCAATTACTGCTCCCGTATTAATAATGTCGCATCGTAGAGTGAAAAGTAGAATGTCAGAGACATAAAATTGCTTGCACAGCCACTTCCTCATGACGGAACTGTCCGAGAAACCTAGAGAATATTTTAAATGACGATAGAACTAATTCTTCTCACATCATACATATGTATGTTAACGTATGTACAATACATGCTGAGAATAGTATGTACGATGTTAAAAACGACTACGGCTCTTGGCTGCTGAAGTGGGGCGTCAGGCCGCGCCGCTCGAAAACACTCGGAGACATCATTGTTCAGTCACGTTCGCTGGCATTGACTCTAGCATCCTCAGGTTGTACTTTATTTATAATGTACTTTGCGATAGTTACAGAGGACAGAGCAATAGACTTTTTTGCAAACGAGGAAAAACGTGCATACAATTAACAATAGACTTGCAAGTGTATCCGTGTCACGACATAAGAATAATTAACATGCGGCGATTGTTTGTACGTAGACATGTACACCTGCATGAATATCGATTAGTCTTAATATACATATATGAGGTTTATAAAATTAATCGCTCTCACGCGCACATGAATGTCAAGAAGCGTCGTAAAATATTTATATTTTATACAAAAATAAAAATAAAATTTTATAAAAAAAAACGAAAATGGAAGAGATTATATATAATAATAAAAAATATTACTTTTATCTAATATTATGCCAATAGAATATATATGAGAATTTGCATTTTTACTAAATACCATCATTTGATGCTTTTATTTTTCCCCGAAGATATACAATCACATCTCTAAAGGATAGATGCATTAAGCCTCTTTAAATTGTCATTATTTGTCAATATCTAATGTGATCTTTTTCTCGCATGACAGACCGTATTCCTTCAAGCATTGTAGTATACTGTGAGAACTCTGACAGGTGATCCGTAAGCTATGATACGGAGAAGCGTGAAAGGACGTCTTCCCACGACTCTCCGGCTGCCTATACTATTATACAACAGTCACACAAACATCAAAGACATAAGATCAGGATGCCACACTAAGAAGCAATGATATTATTGCCACATCGGAAACAGTAGAAATCACTTAGCACTCAATTCCAGCCGCAAGTTGACTTTTCTGAATTCGGACTGATGCCGCAAGCTGCTGGCAAGATCGGAACTTGGAAGTTTCCGCAAAAGCGAGGGAAACTCTGCATTGCGCCTCATCCATTTACTGTACCATTCATACATATAGGTATATAAATACATATAGCGTCCAAAGTAAGTGCAAGTGTTATCTCGACCGCGAGTATTACAAGTCAAATTCTAAGATAATATTTTTTTAATATTAAAATACCAATAGTTTTTGTTATAAGTGATTAAAGATTAAAGTAGATTGAAGCTTAAAGTAAACTTGACTTTAACAGAATTTTAATTTAAAGTTTAGCTACTAAAATATATATTAAAGTTAAGAAGTTGTGAGAAAGTATGGTAAATCAAATTTTCTCTATAGAATATTCTACTTCGAAATAATAAAGGAATCGTATCTAATTCTAAGTAAAATTGTGATGTATCTTTATATATTCACAATTTTATATAGGTACATATATATGTACATCTATATCTGAGTATATATCTATATAATTTATATATTCATCTACATTTTGTATGTATAAACATACGTATTTATATTTCTACATATTGAATGTAGATAAATATCTATTTATATACAGATGAAATCTATAGAATTCTTTAGCTATCTCAGATGTTTCTAGATCCATCGCAATGCAGCAGGCGGTGCATCTAGATATTTGCTGAAAGCACGACTACCACTGCGCTTAGATCACGCGATTACTTGGTGGACACAGAAAGGCTTCTGCTAAAAGCTGCTGGATAAAGAAATAAGTGGGGAAAAAAATGAAAAACCCAGAAACGAGAAAACATAGAAAGAGGAAGAGCAGAGAGGAGGAAAGCGCACTACGCGTTAAAGAACAACATTTTCTATGGAACTTTGGTTTATTCTAACTATTTCCGGTTAAAAAGTCTCAAAGCATAATAGCTCCGTATTCAATTTTATCTTAAAAACGGATCATTTCCAAAAGAAATAGAATGCTGAAAAGCTAATTCTTTCGACGTATCGTCTATTTGCACTTATTATTGTTAACTTCCCCCTATTACATATGATTTTTTTATATAAAGTTGAATTGACCTTTATATTTATATATATATATAACTTTTCGTCTCATGAGAGTTTTGTTTTAAAATCAAATTTTGATGCTATAACATATTGCATATTGTCACCATGATAGCAATGGATC